TTTGGCCCCTTTGTTGAAGATAAGGTAGCTGAGTGTGTTTGTAATTGTGCCTGCATCTTCTAATCTGTTCCACTGATCCTCAGTACCATGCTGATTTTACCACAGTAGCCTTGTGATTTCAAGTCAGGGATTGTGATGCCTCTTGCCTTTGCTGCGCCGGACTGCCTTTGCTATTCTAGGTCTTTTCTGGTTCCAAATGTATTTTGGGAGTGTTTTCTCCAGATCTCTGAGGTATGCTAATAGTATTTTGATTGTGACTGCATTAAATCTGTGTAACAGTTGTGAGAGTATGGCCATTTTCACAACGTTAAGTCTTCCTATCCATGAGCAAGGGATGTCTTTCCATTTCCTGATGTCCTCTTTGATGTCCTTTTTTTGGAGTACTGTAGTTTTCACTGTGTAGGTATTTTACTTCCTTTGTTAGATTGATTCCTAAGTATTTCCCTCTTTTGGATACTATTGAGAGGGGTGTTGTTTCCCTAATTTCTCTCAGTGAGTTTGTTGCTTGTGTACAGCAAGGCTATTTAGTTTTTGTTTTCCCACGAGCAGTTTTGCTATTCTACACTTTTATCGAGGCAACCAACCCAATTTGTTGGACGGTGACAAATTGTTCTGACTCATAATTCTTTGTCTTTTTATAAAATCAGTTGTAATTATCTATCATCTATCTGTTTATCTGTATCTCTCTCTCTCTCTCTATCTATCTATCACCTCTCGATAGATTTGGTTTTGCTACGTTGCCCAGGCTGGTGATATTTTTTTTTCTTCTGAGATAAGGGCTGGCTTTGTAGTTCAGGCTGGCCTTGAACTCAGTGTGTAGCCCAGGCTGGCCTTGAATTCATAGGAGTCCTCCTGCTTCAGCCTCCCCAGTGCCGGGATTCCAGGCGTGCGCCACCACACCTGGCGCTGGAGCTTCCTACTCTGCCACATGCCCTGGCAGCAGTCGTACATCATATTTTGGTTTTCGCATCTCGTCCCCCGGCGGTACCCGTGCGTCGGTGTTCGTGGAGAGCGTTTCAGTTTTGTTTCTGTCCGCGAGCGCGTCGTGCTTCCCGACCACGTGAGAGCTCCTCGCCGCCCTGAGGCGCGTGGTCCGTGCTCGGAGAGGCTGAAGGAGCCGCATCCTTCCTGCGCGGTCCTACCGGAGAAGCTGGGAGTCGGGAGGCGAGCACCGGTGAGGATGTGACTCTCCCGTCTCATTGGTTCAGGCCCGTCTTTCTCCGAGCCAGAGTGAGCGCCAGTTCTCTGCTGGATGACGGGAGAGTGTTGCAATGAAGTCCCTTTTCTGACCACCCAGCGCAGAGCGGGGAGCAAACCCACGCAGACCCCGGCACGCACAAGGTCTGCAGCGGGTGTGGACGGGAAGACGCTACTGGCAGCGGCAGGTCCGGGCCTGCGCGGCGCCAGGGGATAGGCCCGAGGCCGAAGGAGCGAGCGGGAGCGGGGGCGGGCTCCGCCGTGTCCACGGGGAGCTGCGTCCTCACCCCGCCCGGGACGTGGGCTCCTGGCGTCCGGCGCAGACCTCGGTCCCCTGACGCCGCGGCGAGCTCCTGGCCTTCCCCCGAAGCCCTGGATCCGCAGCGCGGCCTGCTCCTCGGCACACCCGCCGCTGTCAGCCGGTCCTGCAGGCTCTTGTGCATCTGTGTGTCTCGCACTAAAGGTTTGTGCAGTAAGCACTGCCCGACCCACGCAGCCTCTTGCACAGGCGGGCTTTCATTGTGTAGGTGGCTTTCGGGTCACAGGATCGTGAGTAGTGGGGTGACACGATCAGATTTGTTTCAGAAAATCTGATGTGAAGGAGCATATGAGGTCCTTGCCGAGACTCTTACGGCCTTGAACCTCAGTCACCCCCACTTCCTGGGTGAAAAAGTGGCCGAGTTTGATCTGTGCGTGGGACACTCGCCGAGCCCGAGCAGGACACACAGGCGTGACACCATTGCTGCAGGGACCCGTCTGAGAGAGACTCAGGGCCGACCACCGCAGGAGGCCATGGTCCCGGGTCACCAGGATGACACAGACAAACAAGCACATCACCGAACTGTGAGACCTCAAACAAACAAGAGCAAATAAACACACATCCAAAGGAGGGTTCCATTTGTAGGAAGTCCCGCTGCTGTCAAGGGTCAGTGTCACTTCTCTGAGGGGCACCGGCCAATCTGGTTGGTTGTCCAATGAAGTGCTGACCCACCTTTACGTGGATCAGGCAGCTTTGCACCATCGCATGATGACGAAGTTAATCATTCACTTGCAGTTTGCCATTGCAGATGCAGAGCATTTCCTTTTGGCTTTGAAAAATTGAAAATTTTATCTTCTTCTGTTTCGTGAGACAGGGCCTTGTTATGTAGTTTAGGCTGGCCTCGATCTTGTGGTGATCCTCCTGCCTCAGCCTCTTGGATGCTGGGACCACAGGTGTGCGCCACCATGCCTGGGTGAAAGCCCTACCTTCAGCCTTGTTTTAGGAGCCTCCCGCCCCCTGGCCTGTCACTGGGTAGCTGTAGCCTACACCGCTCTCAGGTTCCTGTGCAGTCCTCACCTTCAGAGCCCGTCCCAGGACGTCAGGGGCCTCCGGAACTCACCACCGTACACAGCACCTAGTAGGGGTCTTGGTTGTTTTTCTTTCTGTGCTGAAGCTCCTATCCCAGGCCTTGAACATATGAGGCAAGTGCTGTACCACATCACAGCCCCAGGCCCTGGCATACTTCCTTTCGTGATACTGGGTAGAACCCAGCATCTCAGCCATATCCCAGCCCTTTAAAGGTTCAAGGCAGGCTCCTGTTAAGTCACGAGGTTGGGCAGATTGGGCTCAAACTCGCAATCCTCCAGCCTCAGCGTCCGAGTGCTGGGATTACAGCTATGTACTACATGCCCAGCCTCAGCATACTTCTACTTTAAAAGGCTTCCTTCCCTGTATTCTCAGCATTTGGGAGGCTGAGGCAGGAGGATGACTGTGAGTTTGTGTCCAGCCTGGGCTACATAGTGAGTTCCAGGCCAGCCTGAACTGCATAGCGAGACCCTGTCTCAAAAAAGGGGGGGGGGGCTTCTTTTCTCATCTCCCTCATTCCGGCCTTTCTCCTGTCCCCTTTGCTGGATGCCTGTGGTAAGCAGGCGGTCAGCTACGCTGGCATGAACGGGCAGCCACAACGCTGCTCCTGCCCGACTGAAGCATGTGGTAGAAAGCACTCCATCTGCAGACACCAGGTTGCTCTCTGGACGCTGTCGGGACGGGAGCGGGGGGCAGGGTAAAGGAGCACGTGTGAGCGCCTGAGCTGTGCGGGGCGGGGCTCCGGGTCCTTGGGGCTGGCTGTAAGCAGGGCAGCAAGTCCCCTGCGGTGTGGAGACCCAGACGCTGACTGCTGACCTCTATAACTGTCTTTACCGTGAGGGCATCAGAAGGGGGCGGGAAGTGTTCCTGTAGCTAACAGGAGTCCCGTGCAGATATTTTTGTCCTGTCTCTTTCCCATGCTTGGGTTTTACCAGAGATAAAACAAATTAGTAGCCGGGCGTGGTGGCGCATGCCTGTAATCCCAGCACTTGGGAGGCTGAGGCAGGAGGCTTGTTGCGAGTTCAAAGCTAGCCTGCGCTACAAAGTGAGCTCAAGGCCAGCCTGAACTGAACAGGGAGGCCCTGTCTCAAACACACACACACAAATTAGTAATTCTGTAAGTATTTCTAAAACAATGAATAAAAGGAAACTTGTTTTTAGCCACGCGTCTAACGGTGGTACATGCCTCTAATTCCGGAGGCTGAGGCAGGAGGATCACAGTGAAGTTTGAGGCCAGCCTAGGCTACATTATGAGTTCAAGACCTGCTTCAAAAAAATAAGAAAGCCACAAAATTTGTTTTTTAATCAACAAAATACTTTTATAATACTTGGGCAAAAAGTCTTCCCACTTGTCAATTTCAAAGATTAAACTGTAAGGGGAGAACTTTCCAATTTAGCAGATTAACATATTTCATGGCCTTATTCGCCTTTAATAATTGTAAGGGAGATTTCTACTGTCCTATTCATTTATAATTTCATTGTAAATTCATGCATTATTTTATCTAGTCTGCTATGATGTTATTAATTGTTTTCTTTTTTGCGGTATTGGAGTCTGAACCCAGGGCCATGTGCACGCCAGGTAAGTACTCTACCGCTGACATACGCCCCAAGCCCTTTTTGAGATGGGTCTTGCTAAGCTGCCCATGTGATGGCCTCCCACTTGTGATCCTCTTGTCCCAGCCTCCCGAGTAGCCCGGATTCCAGGTGTGCGCCACTGTGCCTGCTACAGTGGGACCTCAGCTCATGAGTCAGTTACCTCTGGTCACAAGCCAGACTGGACTAGAACCCAGTCAAATTTCCCCACGAAGTCAATAGTGAACCTAACCAGTGAGTTTATTTGGTTCTCATCTGAACTGGTTCGTGGCCAGAATGGTGGAGAGAATCCAGTTCACCAACCAAGGCCCCGCGGTGCACCACTCCCTGTACTGCAGCAGATCTGGCCAGGGGCCCTTCCAGGCGGCTCTGTCTGCTGGGTTCCCCGTGACTCCATGAACCTTTTCTGAGTTTGAGGAACAAGATGTTGGACTTCTGCTGCCACAGCCCTAGAAGCAGCTAGTTCTTTGTTGGATGGAGCTGCTTTTTAAATTTCCTTGCTTCAGAAGTAAATGTTTATTGACCGTATATTTTAATCCTTTTTATAATGCCGTAATTACTTTAATGGTAATTAAATGGTAATTTCTAGTGCTACTTTAAAGATACATTTCCCACAGCCCAGTGTATACCGTGAGACCCTCCTGATTGCAATAAAAATTCTCCTAAGTGCACTGGCTTCTGTTTTTTGTGGTGCCGGAGACCAAACCTGGGCTCTGCTGCCTGCCAGTCAAGTGCCTGGAGCTGTGCGTCCAGCCCCATGCTGGGTTTTAAGGACATAAGCTGAGACTGGCAAGGGATACGAATATTTATCTTCTTAAAAAAATGTAGTTAAAAACACACAAGTAATGTAAAAAGCACCCAAATATTTTTTGTATATGTGCCAACACTTTATTTTGATTTTGCTACTGATGTTTACATGTTAAGACAGTTACTACACAGCTAAGCTAACTGAAGTGAACGTACAAGAACTTGGTTAGACATGACACTGATGCAAGACAGCCGAACAAGTTCTTGATTTCATTTCTCCCGCTAGGAGCTTCACCACCTCTGGGACCAACACTGGCCTGTGAGTCAGGTGCTTTCTCTGTACTTTTCCAGTGTTACTGGATGCTGAAGAGAAAGCGAATCATGCCCTTCTGTCTGAGAACCAGTGAGTGACCAGGCTCTCTGTCTCCGCAGGAACAAACCGTTACTTAGAGCTCAGGCCTCCGGAGGAACCCAGTGTGTGTCCTGGACAGGGGTACCGCAGCTGCTCCTCTTCCCACTCAGCTCGCTAATGACAGTGTATCAGAAGTCACTGAGCCAGAAGCAGGCGCAGGGCGTTTTTAGGTCACAGAGGAAGTCAACGAGGACGTGACAAGCAAAGCCGCTAATGCTTCAGAAAACGTCTCAGATCCCGACGTGGAGTGGCACAATGGCCGTGCTATCTCTTCCTAAAAAGGGCCTTTCCCCGCTTGTCTCCAGACCTCTTTTACCCCTTTGATGCTCTCTTTTTTCACGCATTTCCAGTATTCTTGTACACTCTGTGGCTGTGGGACCTGTGAATAAGAAGTAAAAGTTAAGGGCCGTTTTCAAGGCTAAAATAACGACGTGTACACATGTTACACACGTTACAGTTTCCTTCCACCTTCCTCCAGAGCAAAGCTGAAGGCAGACGATGGTGTAAAAGGTTTGCTAATGAAATCCCATCTGCTAGTTTCCCCTAAGTCAAGTTCGCTGTAGGAAGTCAGGCTGCTTTCTAAATTGTAAGTGATGAGCGCTGTCTTCTTAGACACGGGTGTCCCATGCTTTATGACCCTGCCCTTTCTCCTGGCCTCCCTGCTGGGTACATTCTCTTTGTACCTCGTTTCACAGCGCAATTTCTTTCATGAGAATGCTTCTACCTGACAGATCTACACAAAACTCTGACTTTGATCTGCCCCAGTTACGGACCAGTATGTGAATTTGAGCAAATAAGAATAGCTAACATTTACTTTACATATCTCAGCCACTACGCACTTAATTCTGAAAGTAATTCTTTCTGGTAGATTCTATTAGTTTTCTTATTATACAGATGAGGAATTAAGTGGCTTTGTGAGACTCAGCAATTAATAAATGGTAGAGCCAGGATTTAAATCTAGGTATATAACTACAGGGCCCAAAGTCAAATCTTAAGATTTTAACTTTATTTAATTTTTTTTTTTTTGAGGGAGGGTCTTGCTATACAGTTCAGGCTGGCCTTGAACTCACTGTGTAGCTCAGGCTGGCCTCAAACTTACTACGATTCTCCTGCCTCAGCCTCCCAAGTGCTGGGATTACAGGTGTGTGCCACCACACCCAGCCTCCCAAGACTTTGTAAATAGATTTACAATAGATTTTTAAATAATGGTTTCTATTACAACTATATTTTTTAAAATAGCAAAATACTGCATCTCATTTTATGTAACACATTTCAATATTTCAATTACTAATATCTTTATTAAAATTTCACTTAAGACTATCTGTTTGCTCAAATCCTAGGTTTATCTAGGATTAATATCATTGTTAGTAACATATAAACGTAGTTTTCTAAAAGCTCAAAATACGTTACCCATAACCCTCGATGCATCCTGTTTTTTAACACCCCAAGAAACTCCTCATGGCTCAGGCACTCGTCACCATCCAAATCAAAGATCTTGAAGACAGTGTCCAAAATATTGTTTGAAAGCTCTTGTCCTGTAGCTACCTTCACAGCTCTCTTAAACTCGGCTATATGAGAAAACATAAACCACAGCCAGGTGAAACAGTCTAGGTGGAATTAATGTAAATTTTCATTAGTTGAGAAGTAACAACAAATTTGTGTTTATTATTTGGGAAGTAAAACAAAAAACACTCATCACAGATGCATTGAAGGCATACATTTGGTTAAGAAATGTCATGAAAGCAACGGTAAGATAAGTAAGCTGTTTTAGTTTAAGCTTTAATTGCACATTTAGGCATTTCCTTCTCCTTTTTAGAATAATGAGAAAATAAAAGCAAAAAGAGTAATAAATAAGCTGCTGGCGCTGTAAATCTAGAACAACCACGCTGAATTAAAAGGCCAGTTATGTTACTGATAACCGGCGCTGTGGTTGGTACCATCCCGCTGAAGCACCGAGGGAAACAGCTCACCGAGGATGAAGGCGAACTGATGCCCCTATCTCACCGAGTCTGACGGGCCGATGAGCTAAGCTGAACATCTGCATGGCAATCGCGAAGTCTTCCAAGTGGGTCGTAAAATGGCAAAATGACTTGAACTCATCCAAACTAATGCTCTAATAAAAATAAGAGGTTTTATGACATTTTTATAAATACATTAAGCAATCTTATGAATATAACTGCAGTCTTCTACCATAAAGCTGATGATCTAAGCAAGGCTATTAAAAAGTTCAAGACACGGACTCACAGAACGCGAGGTTTCGGCGCTCCGGAGGGGCCGGGCGAGCACAGCGGGCAGGGCCTGCGCGCGGCCGCGGAGACCCGACGGCCCCCCTGGGTGTGCAGCGCAAGCGCGGGGTGGCCGTGCGCGATGACTGCACGTCTGCCGGACTCACATCTCAGGCCCCGCCCCCAGGGGGACTTTACTTGGAGACTGGGCCACACGCGGAGCCCTGACCCGAGGAGGCTGGTGTCACGAGAGGAGAAGGTGTCGGCGACCCTCAGGCTCGCTGCCCTCCTGGGTGTGCACCAGGAAAGTGCACAGGACACCCTGAACAGGGGCCGCGTGCAAGCGCAATGGGGCCTCGCCAGAAGACGGGCCGTGCGTGGCCCCCTGCCTCTGGACCTCCAGCCTCCGTGAGGAGGAGGAAATAAACCTCGTCGTTTGAGCTGCCCAGTGTGTGCTGCTTTGTCACGGCAGCCCAACGACAGCAACGCACGCTGTTAAACGGTCCCCTTCTGCAGAGCTTTGTCAGCGACACACGCTGAGAAGGAGCGCCGGGTTCTGCTGATGGACCTACGCTGAGATGTTTCGCCTTTTACTGTCTGTATGATCTTAGCATACAGAGGTTATCTGACCAGGGTCCACGACATGGAATAATCAGGATTTGAAACTTGGTTCAACAGACTTCAAAATCTATGCACCTAGACACAAAAGCAAAGGCCTGTGGGTTTAGGCCAGCAGTACAGCCCTTGCCCAGCACCTACAAAGCCCTGGGTTTCCTCCCTAGCACTGCCAGACAAACTCTCAAAAACAAAACAGGAAGTTAACAGACTGGTTTTCCTATTAAAAACTAAAAACAATGTAAGAGTTCTTAATTTGAAGGCAAATCCTTCCCTGCTTAAAAAAGTATCTTTTGACATGCAAGTGGTGGTGCACTGTAATCTCAGCACTGGGGCGGCTGAGGCAGGAGGATCGCTGTGAGTTCAAGGCCAGCCTGAACTGCAAAGTGAAACCCTATCACAAACAAACAAGCAGTATCTTCCTAAGTACCTCCAGGATCATGTCCTTTATATATGTGGGGTCTTAGTCATGTTTTACTGCTTTTAGCTTTCATGAATTTATGGAATTTTTTATTTTAAAAAATTTTAATAAAAGTTTTTGGGCAAACAGGATTGAATAAAGGGCCTCTGTGCTGAGCTACGTCTCCAGAGCCTTTTTGCTTTGAGGCAGAGTCTCACTAAAAGCTTGCGATCCTCCTTCCTCAGCCTCCCAGTGTGCTGGGATTATAGGTCTGTGCCACCATGCCCGGCTGAAAATTTTAATTATATGTTTGAGGAAGTAATACATAAGTGTGATAAAAATCGCAAAAGAACAAAGGATAAATAATAAAAAACCTTCCTCTTCTGGACCTTAGTTAATTTCCCCGAGGCAAGCAATGGTGCCCTGGGTGTGCGTCTCAAAACTGTACTCATAGAAAAGCTCTCTCTCACACACACACCCCCCATTATGGTTTTTAACTTGAAATCTGTACACAGGACAGCTTCTTTTTCTCTATATGTGTTGTAACAGGACCTTATTGAATTCTTGCTGTTTTCTACTATGTTTTCAGCTGGATTCTCATGGGTTCTGTGGGCATGTAAGCACATCATATGCAAACAGAGAGAAAGGTATCTCCTTTCAAATTTCTGTAGTCTTTTTAAAAGCCCTGTTCATCTTCCTGGCTAAGATTTCCAGAACAGTATTCAATAGCAGTGGTGACAGTGGCTTCTTGCCTTATTCCCGATGCTAGTGGAAATGCAAATTCACAGGTCCTACGCTGATGCTGTCTTAGGTAGCAGTTCATCTGCAGGAAATAGTATGTGGTAAATGTTTCTCCATTTGCATATTTTCACAATAGAGAGTAGCACAGTGTTGGTTAAGACAGGTTGCTCAGCAGTTCAAGCTGGCCTTGAGCTCACTTTGTAGCCCAGGCTGGCCTCGAACTCCCAGCAATCCTCCTGCCTCAGCCTCCCAAGTGCTGGGATGACAGGCGTATGCCACCATGCCCGACTATTATTCCATACCTTATCGCATGCGTAAGTAAAGGGCTACCAACCTCTCCTGCAGACAACTTCTCTCGCACATTTTTCCAATAAATGTCTTTATTTTCAGTGTTAGTGAAGAAAAGCAGCCATTCTGCAAAGTCTTCTTTCCTCATGAAACTCAAGCCTTTGGAAAACTGAATGAATTCCATTTCCTGAACTTCTGCTTGTAAATTTTCCATGAATCTAAACGATAAAATACAAGACTGACGTAAATGAGGACGTTCAACCTGAATGCTGTCTGGGACGACAAGGCGCGTTCACTCTGACCGGGCCTACTGGGCGGCTGGCCTTGGGTAGGACAGACACGGGGCTGTGGGAGGCAGTGCAGGGACAGCGGCCAAGCCCAGCGCCTGCCTTGAGCTGTGCTTTCTCAGGCTCAGTTCGTCCCTGCGAATTATACCTGGCAGGCCGTGCTCTGATAAACACTTAAAGATAGATAAAGTGTTGCTCTGATACATCCACACGAAATACAATTCCACAGGAAACTGTTTTTTCAATATAGAAACATTATTAATAATCCAAAAAGTTTCAAGTTTAGGAGGGACTCTGCTTTTAGAATGCTAATCATAATTAATAGCTTGGAGTATTTTTCAGAAACCAAAGTTGATCAACGGCTTTGCATTGAAAGTTAAGGTCTGCCTAAAGTATCTCTACCTTTTTGGACAATAGCACATGTATGTGTAACAACGTTCCTTTCTTATAAACACAACAGGGCACTTGGGTCAAACTGTCATCAGTAGCTTCCTGGGAAGGATACAATTTGAAAAGGTATCAGAGTAAACATTATTTTCTTTGAACAAGAATCCACAAATGTTGCACTTGATTTATTTATAACCTAAATCATGTGAAAAGTTTAACATGTGACAAGGTAGGCATGGTGGTGCATACCTGTCATCCCAGCATTTGGGAGGCTGAGGCAGGAGGATTGCCATGAGACCTAAACCAGCCTGGGCTACACAGTGAGACCTTGTCTCAAAAAACAACAAAAAATACATTGCAGACCCCTTTATTAACTCTCCCACATGCTGAAAAGGACCTGTGCTGTCTCTCACACGTACACAACTTATGTCTGTATATGAAATGAGGAAAGAGGCATAGTCCAGCTCAGTGGCAGAAAGACTGCCACTGCTAAAAAGATTACTTGCTTGCGTTAGGTGCTACATTTTCCCTGTAACTCTTAAAAGCATGAAGGAAGAGTTTGATCTTGAGCGCCTATGTGCTAAGTAACAGTTTGTCATCTAGGACATTTTCTGAACGTGTTAGGTAGGCAGGTTTTTCAATGCATCCTTCTTTCTGGGTCAAAACAGAATTTTATCTAAAGCTTGAAGTATTTTGAGTTTGGACTGACAGACCAGTAAGATACTGTATTGATATACTGTGCCTTGTGCCTCACTGGGTATTATGCTATGTGTGCTGACGACATTCCGCTGGTTTTTATTAGTATTGTTAAGAGGACGCTTTACTTGCAATGAGTGAATTGCAAGTACAGTGAATCAGGAAAGTAGAAAATCTGTTGTAAAAATACGGTTAAGTTGTTCTTCTCAACTTTTTTCTCTGCAGTGATAGGAATAAGGTGGTCATGGGATGCGGCAGGCTGAGGAGGAAACTGAGGCGGGAGGAGTAAAAGTCCTGCTGGAGGCTGCTGCGTGGGTGGGGGCGGGGTTGTGACTGGAATCGGTGGCGGCAGCAGGGATGGGGGGAGGCAGTGAAATCCAAGAGATTATTTGTGAGGAGAAAATCAAGAGTATTTGCTGACTGACTGGAGAAAGCGAGTGAGAGAGGGGAATTAAAGGTAAGGTCTGCTTCTGAGTGGAGCTGGTGCAGGGCGTGATACTTATTCAAGGGATCCAGCTTATTAAGAACAGGTGAGAGCGGGGCGTGGCGGTGCATGCCTGTAATCCCAACACTCAGGAGGCTGAGGCAGGAGGATCGTTGTGAGTTTGAGATCAGCCTGTGCTACAAAGTGAGCTCAAGGCCAGCCTGAACTGCATAGTGAGACCCTGTCTCAAAAAAAAACAAAAAAACAAAAAACAAAAAAACAAAAAACGAACAGGTGAGAAAATACGTGTAACACACGAGAAGAGGCCGGCCCGTCTTAGGTCCCTGACAGCACAGGCGCCGCTGTTCTGTGCGGGGGATGCTGTGTAACTCCTTTTCATGCTCATCCGACTCAAGCCGGACGCCCCTCTCGGGAGGAGCCACCTTCCTGCTCACACCCCACCTTCCCGCTCACAGCAAGTGCGCCTCGAAGGAAACCGCATCATAGCTGCAGTATGAGTCCCGGCACACATTCACGGTCTCCGCCTGCGGCGGGCTTCCCGCTGGGTCATCCGCCTCCAACTTGCAGCAGCAGGCATGCCCAGCGCGTGGCTTTTGTGCTACTGAACTATGTTTTAATCTTTGAAAGCACTACAGTGACTTCTGCCTGCTTCGTCCCCAGAGGGGCTGCCCTAGTGTCTGACGGGCCTGCGGCCCAGCAGCGCATGGCGTGCCCTCAGTGACCCTCCGCGCAGCCGCATCGGGCTGACCCGGCGCAGCGCTGCCTCGCGCAGAAGTGCTTTCCGCCACTCGTCTGCTTTCGGTCTCTGTTCTGAGGCCGCCGCGGGGAACGGCACGCGGAGGGCGCTCCTGTCTGGCGTGGAGCTACCCGCTCCGGAAGAAGGTAAGCGGGGTGTCTCACGTAAGTACTATTACGCTCATTTTACAGATAAACGCGCCCAGTGAAGTTCAGTAAGTTGCTTAAAATGAACAGGACCCAGACGTGTCTGAGTATTCATGCTCTGCTTCTGGACACTTCCCACTGCAGCAGCAGGGCAGTGTGCTTCTGACAGAGACCGTGTTTACCGTTCAGTCCGCAGAAAAAGGCTGCCACACTTTGTGCTGCAGAGTTGGAGACTGCGTGGAGCAGAGCCGAGACCATGTCAGACCAGTGAGTTCCCTTCTGGCCAACCCATCAGCAGACTGCGAACGCCTCCGCCCAGGCAGGATCAGCCGATGCCGGCCCCTCCGGGGAGTCACAGCCAACTGACCCGAGACCGGGGGACACTGGGACGGCCCGCTCGGGCTGGGCTGTAACGCAAACCGACACTAGGGCAGTTCTCTCAGTTGCAAATATTACATTACTAACAGGAATTACCGCACTCTCTAGGACATTTACTTTCATAATAGGTTGGAATTTTTACAGCACCAGAACTTTAGTTTATACTTCACCGGTTTAGTTCCCAGGGACCAATACATATCCACAAGTAGTTTTTACTTTCATGGTCTACCATTCTGGAAAGCGAATACGTTCAGTTTCTTTGATTCTGACCTCTGAAGTTCCCCAAAGTAAATATAAGCATTCACATTACCTTCGAAATTCTTTAAAATGCAGTTTTCTGTCTCCTTTTTTCCCAAAGAAACGCATCTGAAGGGTTGTGTTAATTTCGGAGTCTTTCACGGGTTGATCCTATACAAATTACATAGAATTTCAGTTAACTCTTAGAAATTTGAAGCACTTATCCAGAAGGACAAAAATAGAACCTGTAACTCAAACCTTGGGGAACCATACCCAGGAATCACCGTTGCAGGGAGAACAAAGCTGGTAGAAAAGAGCGGTGTACAATCATTGTTTCTGTCTGTAACTTTACATCACATTTTTCTATAACCATTTTTGTTCAAGTAGAACGGCTAGAAATACTCCATGTGCTCCTCAGCAGGAACAAAATCTTAAAAGCCTAGAATAGTGAAATAAATATTTCAAAATGTAATCTCTAGATATTTTTCAGTGACTAGCACTGAATGATTAAAGTAGGGGTCTTTCGGCTTTTGCTGAATGTTATAAATACTAAATACCTGTGAAACACTTGCTTTTCCTTTTTTTTTTTTCCCTCCCTCGTTCTGTGTTTTGAGACAGGGCCTCACTCTGTAATTTAGGCTGACCTTGAACTCACGATGTAGCCTGTGGGCCTCAAATTTGTGGCAGTCCTGCCTCAGCCTCCCGAGTGCTCGGATTACAGGTGTGTGCTGCCACACCTGGCTAAGCACTTCGTTTTCCTAAATAAAACTGATGATGAGAATTCCATGAAAGATAGTGAGGCCGATTCCCAGGGTCTTCCTTCTTCAATTTCTTGAAGAAGAACAACAAAAATACAACAGAGGGGCTGGGGATTTAGCTCAGCGGCAAAAGCACCTGCCTGGCAAGCGCAAGGTCGTGAGTTCGGTTCCCGGTACCGGAGAAAA